CGCACAGTTGATTAATCAAGTCTGCCGGAGCATGGCAATTACTGTACTCTAGCAGCTTCCTCTCGGAGCTGCTCTAATTAAAGCACCATCCCCTCCATCCCCAGAGAACATGTAAAAGTGCCTTGAGGTACTAGATTTATGCGCATTAGCTAAACCACATTCATGCACATGTAGATGTACTGAGTTCTTGGGTTGGGAACTGTGGGGGGGTGGGGTAGGGGGAAATGGGATTGTGTTCTTTTTTCAAATGAATTTATACAATCCTGTCCCAAAATAGCTTTCTACTGTAGTAACAATGAGATACAGCTATCTTGAGAGCAGTGCATTAGATAGAGCATAGGTAAGGTGAAGAACCAGCGTCCTCTGCTCTGCATGTTTAGTCTATAACTTGCTATTACAGAGTACAGGAGAACAGTGGGAACTCTTTTAGAAAGTGGGGTTTAGCACTTGTGGAGTCATGCAATGCATGATCTCACTTCCCCTGCCAAGGATGTCATGTAGAGGGTCTCCACAGGGGCAATCATGACAGATATGGATGAAGCTAATCACATGACAGTAGAATACCCATAAAGTCCCTAGAAGAACTGCTGCAAGTAGCTTTAAATGCATGACCCTGGCACATCAGAATCACATATTTTCCATTATGCTTCTGCATTCCTTACATGTCAAAGTCTACTCAGGAACTGGACAAATGGGAATAAGAAACCACTGATCACTGACTGGGGTACAATGTGGAAAAAAAGGATGCTAACTCTGACAAATTTTCAATTACAAAGGAAGCTTTGGAGGAAGCAAATACACTTACACTAAAGTTAGACTTAGAAGACTTATCTTTTGGAGGTGCCTAGTACAATTCAGTCCAATTGACTTCATCAGGAGCTGAACATTTCAGACAGTCTAGCTGATAGCGTAGTTCATTGTAGTGTGGATAACTGTTTAGGGACAGATCCTTGGGTGGTACAAATTTTCATTGCTTCATTGAAGCCATTGAAGGAAATCAAGCTATGACAATTTGCATCCTTGAGGATCTCCCAAATGTAACAACGTTGTGGTGTGCCATAATGTGCGCATCTGGTTAAAGTGAACCTCCTACTATAGGGAAACACAGCTTCACCTTAAAAAGGCTATTTATTATTACTCATTTTATTCTGGTCAGCATACCACTATGCATGACATTTCAATAAACACAAATATATGACTGCCCAGCTCATGTTTTACTGCATTCCCTCCTCCACTCTTTTCTTCTACCCTAATCTTTGCTCTTTTTTGTTGTTTTTTTTATCTTCCATTTTAAAATTCTTTTATATGGTTAGAGCATCTCTTTTCCTCCTCATATAGGTCACATAAACATCATATTGCTTCCAGGACATCTTGACACTTAAGAAAAAAAGAAACAGATTGTTTTTGTCTGGATAAAACTTCTCCCCCAAACAAATGGTCAAGGACAAATGTAGATAACCAAATCTAGAATAACAAATCAGGTTTTCAAATATTCTACTCACAAGGGAATGTTACAAATTTATCATCCACAAGACAGTTTTTCCTTCTAGTAAATTGACTATTTTTCCCTAACATATAAAAATGTAAGTTATTATAGAAAAGGAACAAAATCAGAACTAAACAGATTTAAAACTACTTCTATTGAAATGTTAGCAGACTGATGCAAGAATTATTTACAGACCTATCCCACAAATTCCTATGGTGCTATCAGGTGCTTCAATAAATCTTTTTTTTATGGTGGCACAAAGGCCGAGCAAACATGTCCATACCCCTTGTTACACTACAAATGCCCAAGATTAGGGACCATGATGTAGGCAGTATCTATTTGTGCCATTTTATTTTGGCAGACATCTGTTAAGCTTATGATGGGAGAATGCTGTCAGAACAGAGCTGCCTACACTCTCTAGGCCCCCTCTCCAGCCACCCCTGAAACCTCAAAAGTGCCTGCCTGGATTCCCCCATTTGGGATTTCCTAGGTACCTCTCAACACTCTGGTGCAATCCCAGAGCTGGACAATCAACTGATTGGCAGGGCCAGCCATGGGACCATACTGGAGTATCAAACTCACTCCAATGTAGTCCAGCAGCTGAGACTGCCAGCCACGTGATTGTCTGACCCTGGGACCACACCAGAATGTTGACACCCTCAGCTGATCAGCACTCTCAGCCCCAGGACCACATTATAACTAGCTTTCCCCACTTACAGAGACACACCCCAGATATTTTCTGGGCTGTGTCTTCACAAGGAGGGAATACATTGTCCTTTCTCCTGCAGGATCAATGGGAAATATAAAGGAGGGCATGGGGTTCACAGCACATCTTAATTTGGCTATGTCTATTTACACGCTAGGGCATTTACAGCACCAGCTTTAGTTATATTTAATCTGCGATTAATTTATTACTGCCTGGAATGTCTTTCCTGTAGGGAATGATTTCAAAGTTGTCACAGGAAGTATCCTATACATCTGTAGGCACATTTGACCCAACACTTGATTTCCAATTTTCCAAATCAAAAACATTTTGAGTAAAAGAGCTTTGAAACTTTTGATGTCTGGTGTTTCCTCTTTTATGAGCCAAAATTATGTTTTCTTTTGAAAGTTGAGTAAATTTAGATTAAGAACAGTGTGTGTGTGTGTGTGTGTGTGTGTGTGTGTGTGTGAGAGAGAGAGAGAGAGAGAGAGAGAGAGGGGGATAAAATTGAAATCTTCAAAATTATAATAATGAAACTTTGAGCCTGACCTGAATTGAATTTTTAATTAAACTCTTTGGACCTCAATGTTTTATTACAGTTTGGAACAGGAAAAATTTTCAATGCTTCAAAGTTGAAATGGGAGCATTTTCCCACCCACATCTACCTTTTGTATAGCTAATCACTTCCTTGGAAGGTTCACTAGCCACTTTATTTTTAAAACAGTTCTCTTGAAAAAATATAGGAAATTTGGCTGGTTTGAAACTGCTTCATAGGCAGGGGAGTAGAGAGCATACAGAATGAATAATTCATCATAAAAGTCATTTTGAGCATTTTGACTGTGATTAAACAAGAATAACATATGCATCATGGTGACAAATACAAACTTTAGAGGGATGCTCCAAGTATTTATTTTGTTTTTTATTTTTGTTCCCATTTCACTGTCAGCTGCATTCAGACCAGGATAAAGGAGATGGCTCCCTTAAGTACATCCTTTCTGGAGATGGAGCTGGAGATCTTTTCATTATCAATGAAAACACTGGAGACATACAGGCTACAAAGAGACTAGACAGGGAAGAAAAGCCTGTTTATATACTTCGGGCCCAGGCAATAAACAGGAAGACTGGAAAACCAGTGGAACCAGAGTCTGAATTCATCATTAAGATCCATGACATCAATGACAATGAGCCAATGTTTACAAAGGATGTTTACAATGCCAGCGTTCCAGAAATGTCAGATGTCGGTAGGTGCCAGTTCAAGAAATATCAACAGTGTTTGGTCTGGGGTCTTCTTGGGGAATTGATCCAGGGACCAATACAGAAAAGTGCTAAGGGCAGATAACCACTGTTTTCTTTGTTTTGTAGAGTCTCAGCACCTTGGAGAGTCTGATCCTGAGTATATATGCTAGACTTTGAACAAAAGACTTAGTGGTTTTTATCTATACTTATTTGTAGATGAAGACAGAAACAAACTGGAAAAGTGAATGAGATAGAAGGGAGCGTGAACCACTCTGAACAGAAAGGCATCACACCTCTGCTCCTACATGATTCAGCAATGCGTTGTTAAATTCCTTTCTCATTCACTGATTTTTCTATTCTTATTTAACAAAAGAATGTTCACCAAAATCTGTTCAAGTTGGTCAAAACCTCTTCATTTGACTTAAATGTGCATTGGATCATGCCTTTAGAATCAATCAGTAAAAGAAAAAAAAATAACACTCAGATTTCAAAAGAATAATTTAAAATCTTCCGTTTGGTGTCTTGGAGGGCCTTTTCCAGAGAGTTTCATAGATTCAGATTCCTTTGCTTCTGAGGAGGTTCATTTCTGATTTCTGTCAGAAAGAGTTGGGAGGTTGAATTGTATGTATCATGTTTCTAAACAGAGACAATGTCCAGTGAAATAAATCATTAATTCAACAGCATCAGAAAAGAGATTAAAATGAACCTCCAACATTAGGCAAACCAAGGCTGTGGGGTGTATTTTCTCAGCACAGTTATGGAAATCGTCACATGAATTAAATCTCACTCATTAAAGTGAGCCCCCGCCCCTAACATTTTACATTATGACATGGTTGTCAGACATACAGCCCACAGGCTGGATCCAGTCCACACAGTCATTTCCCTTGGCCTGCAGGAGTCCCAGAGGCACCAGGAATTTAGGGGCCAGGCTAGTGGGGGTGAGGTTTACCACTGAATTCATAGGTTCAGATGGGCACTTGTTTCAGTGGTGGAGAGGGGCAAGCCCCACCATTCACCCTGGCACCCCGCTGGACCGGTGGAGCCAGCTCAGAAGATTCTTTGCAGTACAAATCCAGTCCAGTAAAATTTGTTTTGCAACCTGAATTCAGATTTCTAACAACTCCAGAGGCTGAAGGTGTTCAGGTCACTGGGCTTTGGTTCATTTCTGTATTTCATGGAAACAGAATTTGACACTTCTATCAATCGGTAGCCTCTATATGAGCCCAGTAGTAGTAGGAGATTGTCTTTCTGTAAAGTATCGGCCTGATGTCAATGTAAATTGAGGAATGAACAAAGCAGCTTGTATAAAATATGAACCTCCCTTAATATTTGACCCAAATTTGAATGGAATGTGAACTGAACATTTTGAGTCCAGTTTTAAACTGTGGGCACTTTTATCTGTGCTTCAACCCATTCTGGTTAGAACCCGCTGGAGCAAACGCGATTGATCAAGTCTGCTGGAGTGTTCTAATCGGAACGCTCCAGCGTGCTGCGGTGTCTCGTGCATTCAGCATCCCACGTTTCAAAACAGTGGCGGGGACACTAACTAAAGTTGGTCTAGCAAGCTTCAGTTAAAGTGCCCCCGCTGCCATTTTGAAATGCAGGACACTGAATACACAAGACCCTGCGGGTGTTTTAATTAGAGCAGCTCCTGAGGGCTGCTCTAATTAAAAAGCTCCCACTTCTGGAGAACGTGTATAGGCGCCCTGTGTTTTTTAGTCTTCACTGTTCCATATTGCCTTCCTCCCAGGTTCCTGCTAGGACTAAAAAGAGAAGTGTCAAAGTATCACAACTGAAGGCAGGTTCATCTCTGGCACAGTTTTATAAACCCAAGGTTGTGATAAACACCCAAACTCTGATCCTTCTGAGATTTCACCGGCATTCACTTAAAAAGCTCATTCTAGACTTCTGGTAGATTACCAGTAGAGAAACTATAGCTCTTTGCTTCATGAGAGATGCAATGCTTGGGGGCTGCTTCTTTCTGCTCCCTGTTAAAATATCCAGGGAAGGGCACCTTGAAAGGTCAGGTGCAGTTTTTCCAAATTCTTTAATTAAGGGCACAGGGTTTGTTACCAGAACTCTAGCCCCAAAGCTCTGTAGGGCTTTACCACTTGGGCTCTACATAGAAACCTGGTCATTTAGTTCTCAGAATTTTCCAGTCACCTATGTCTGAGATTCCCTACAAAAGGCATTTCCAATTGCACACAAAAGAGGATTTCTGAATGGCCCATATTCCAGTATCGCTCTTATTTGTGAATTTACATTGCCATAGCCACATTATGTTTGAATTCATTGGTTTCTATGCAATAGTCAAACATATAAGCAACTGGACAGATATACAGTGCAGTGCTGGCAACTGTATACTGACAAAATGCTATACGGTGTTTTTTTTATCATTTCAGGTACCTTTGTTGTGCAAGTCACTGCAACCGATGCTGATGATCCTACTTACGGGAACAGTGCTAAAGTTGTCTACAGCATTCTCCAGGGACAACCATATTTCTCAGTTGAGTCTGAGACAGGTCAGAAGACCTTATCTGTCATTCTCTGACAATGTCTGTAATTTAAAATGACATGCTAAGCCAAGCTAAGACATATTAGACTAAAACTTCAAAGGGATAACATTTTACTTGGTGCAAATCTGACAAACCCAATAGAGCGATACATCTGTAAACATGACACCTACATTATTTTAATCTTAACTTCAAAGCCTAATAAATATAATTAGAACTAAATGTGAACCACTTTTCAATCACTTTCAACAAGCAGTGGGCACACAGAATTTGTGGAGGCTTAAATTAGGTCAAATATTATGGCTTTTATGGGGAAAGGAGAAAGGCTGGGAGGGGGGAAAAGTTTGCAGTACCCATAGATCTTTATAAGAGCTGAATTAAGATGAAGGATCTTTTTTCTTCTGCTGCTGCTTCTGTTTCTTTAAAATGTGTTGAAATGTGTTACAATTTTGTTTTTGTTCAGCAGCATTACATAATTTTAATTGCAATCTTCTGAAGGACATCTTAATTTAGAATAGCAATAGAAAAGGTCAAATTCTTTAGCTAAGCCCATTCAAAATAAGATTACATTTAGGAACCTACACTTTTCCAGTTGTGTTCCTGGAAGAGTCGCAAATCACATACTGTAGCTGATTTTATTTTTCAAAGGGCTTCTTAAGTATGTGATTGACAACTTGGGAATTTGTCTATGTAAAACTTAAGAAGCCTGGTTGATTTTATGAAATAGCTGTAGTATGTAATGTCTTGGCTTTTGTGAAAACTAACATCTTAGGTCAGGGCTTTATTACATATTTCCCAGACAGGGGACAAGAGAAACTGCTTCTTCTTAATTTCTCTGCAGTGGATGGATCTTATAGAGTGGAATTTTTGCCAAGGTAGACCAAATATATCAGACATTCAATAGTACCGAGCCTAACAGATTCAGGTAAAGGTGGAGGAAGAGGTAATGCGAATGTCTTTAATGGTGCAATCTGCTAAAATTAAAGGTAGCTGGTAGGAGGGGAGAAAGAAGACACCACACTTCAAAAAAGAGGACTGACTTGGAGAATTCAGATTTTACACAGGGGACCTGGAATTTTGAAAAACAAAAACCATTAACCCAGGTTCTATAAAACCTTCCAGAACAGTAAGAAAAATGAAGCAGGAAATGGCGTATAGGTATTTGATTGTTTTGTGCAGATTCACAGATGTGCTAGCTAAAGTAAAGAGTGATTGGGTTACAAGCCCATGTGTGTCTACTTCTACTAACACATGTCCCTGAAGAAGTGAACCCAAAGCCAGAATGCCTACAAGTTGGAGATCTAGGAGAGTTTGCACTTAGTTTCAGGGCCACAGAAATTGATTGTGGGGTCTCAGGTCTCAAAATTGGGTGCATTCTGAAAGTGTGCCTAGTTCTCAAGTCAGAGGTACCCCATCATAGGAAGTCTAGGAGTAGGTTCACACAGCACTTTGTGAGCATGTAAATCCTGTCAATGCCCAGTGGCTTCTGAGATGATAGGAGGCTGTGAGCAAAACCTCTTTTGAAGCACAGGGTGCTGGCTACTTCAAGAGACCAGATTCTTTTCTTGGTAAACCAGTGGTTTTCAGCCAAAGTGATAATAAAGATGATGGAGCTGGAAATTGAGTTACAACAATCTTCTTTGCAGCAGGAATGTTTGGGGAAGCAGGGGCAGGGGATGAGAGAGGGCAATACAGCAAAAGATGCCACTGACGTTAAAAACAAAACTCCTAGTCTGATATCTTGCTCTGTTGGGGACAGTAGGGATTTTGCCACCGATTTCAGTGTTGCCAGGATTTGACCCCTAATGGCTGTAAAGAGTTGAATATCTGGTCTTAAAAGACCAGATAAAAATGCAAACATTTTTCTTCATTATTAATGTAGATTGTTACGTTTCAGTGGGAGTTAGACTTCTAACTTGCATTTTTAGCCTTTTCCTGAAAAAAACATTTAGCAAGAATGTTTCAATCAGTGTATAAATAGAAAAAATATATACAATATACATACACACACATACTATGGTTGGGTGCCCACTGCTTTATTAATTAATATCCCTTCTTCCATGTAATTTTGGTGTACTGCCTTTTAATGATGCCTTGCTGAAGTTAGCTTGTTTCTGCCATGTCTGTCAAAATGAAAAGTTGATGGGGGGGGAGGAGGGGGGCAAAAATTGGAGCACCTTTTAATGAGAGACAACTCTTCTTCCAGTTCAGTGAGAAACTTAAACAAAACTAAAAGGGGTAAACAATGATATAAAAACAGTGCATACAAATAGCTAAAACATCTTTCTTGGGATGCCATTAATATTGTGGCTGTCACACAGGCAGCAGCCTGAGATACAATATGACAAGCCTGTAATTTAATGTGCCATCTTATAAGAGTAAATGTTTGCACTGGGCAAAGTTTACTCATTACATGGAGACTGTTTTTAATTTTTTTAAGTGTTTCTGTCAAAGTCAGTACACTACAAGTGATGTTTGTTTTCTTTATTGTCATATAACTAGGCATTATCAAAACTGCTTTGCTGAACATGGATCGAGAAAACAGGGAGCAATACCAAGTGGTCATCCAGGCCAAGGATATGGGTGGACAAATGGGAGGATTATCAGGGACCACCACAGTGAACATCACGCTGACTGATGTCAATGACAATCCACCTCGCTTCCCACAGAGTATGGAGCATTTAATTCCTAAGGCTTTACAGGAGCATAATCATAAGTTGATGCTTTTCAGTCCAGTTATTACCTCTGCTGTCCAAAACTATGAACCTACTGAGTATCAGAGCTTCCACAGAGAAAGAAGCATGACACTACTATTTAATTCTAGGGAATGGAAAACATTACTTCTTGTAATATTTACACCTGTTTCAGAGTAATGAGACGTTCATTAATGTACATTCCTAAATGCTATTAATTAGCACCTCCTATACAACCTTCATTAGGCTGTGTCTGTAATTATTTAAGGGACATTTTTTGCTCTGCTTTTATGTCTGTGTTTTCAAATATACTTATTTAAAGAGTTCATATTTAGCCCTGGAGTAATCCTACTGAAATCAGTGCTTGCACCAAGGATTCATTTTCCTTACTGGGTTTTCCTGTGTTCATTGCACACACACACACATTATTTCTGCCTACTTTCCTTCCCCAGCCTAAGGTCAACTAGTAAGCATTTGTGTGAAATTTAAAGAAATCACACAAAACCTCTTAGAAGCAACCATCCTTTATACTATTGACTGATCATGACCATAAGATGATTCAAAAGCTTTTCATCCTATTTTTTCTTCTTCTCTAACCACTGCTGTTTGTATCAAGGGAAGAAGCAGTTTTTAGAGAAAATAATTCCAGATCCTATCAGACAAAACTGGAAGCTTTGAACATTAAGCCACCAAAACATATTGTTGGAAGTAACTTACCATTAAGTCCCAACATTCACCCTTAGCTGTAGGCAAGCAGCTCCCTTCTAAATGAATAGGACTTAAGTTGAGATGTAAGAACTTGCCCCAGTGATTTAATAACATATCTCTGGGCATTAGTATCTCTTACTGTTAATTTTCATGTAACTAGGCATTATCAAAACTGTTGAAACTCCTGAAGTAGCTTTTTCATGAGGGGCAAAGAATGAAATACAGCACAATAATCATAAGCAGTTTGGATGGATTTTGCTTTAATGCCACAAAGTGACATTGACCATTGGCATGTCTGTCTATTTTGTTCCTCTTTTGACAATCTAGAGGTTTTTTGTATTCCATCTTAACCTGGCCAAATGGGATCCCAGATGCTGCCCAGAAAGAGCCATAAGTTTTTGTCATGGCATAGTGGAAACTTGTCAAGGAATAAATTACTTTTACTTTATTGTTATAAAACTAAGACATAGGACAAGGTTTATTTTTCACTAAAGTCTTGTCAATATAGCAGCTTCTTAAATCTACTGCTCAAAATATTGCTGCTGTCTGTAGGTGGCAAAGAAATTCAGTATTTATATGTGGTCTCCAAAATAGCATCATTCTGGTAAAGTAAAGCTGCCTTCTCATTTCTTGTAGGCACATATCAATTCAAAACACCTGAGTCTGCCTTACCTGACTCACCAATTGGTAAGATAAAAGCTAACGATGCTGATGTGGGTGAAAATGCCAAGATTGAATACAGCATTACTGAGGGGGATGGATCAGACATGTTTGGGATCATCACTGACAAAGACACACAGGAAGGAATTATAACTGTCAAAAAGGTACGCATTTTAATAAACTTTGGTGGTGTTTATAAACCTTTACTGGGCTATAACAAGCCTTATACAATGTATATAGTCTATACTAGATATTTCATGGCTGTCATTTGTACATGACTTACAAGGAATTTCCTCCACATGCCTTGTACAAAGCCTCTTTTACTCGGTGAGGATTTCACCTCACCTTGTTCCCACATACAGCACATACACTTTGAATGGGGGTTAGGGGGAGGCATATAGTCTGTGGAGAAGGATAGACTTCAAAATATATAAATAAATTTTACTTCTTGAACATGTGCATAACAATGACAGGAGACATGCTCTTCAGCTGTGGATCCCATCTTTAATGTGGGTATAAAAAGATTGGCTCTGCTTATTTGAAGGCACTGTGTTAACCAATAACCTGATTTGCTGCTCTGCTTTCTGCTCCCTGTCCTGTCTACCACTGTGCTACCTGTCCCCTTACCAATCTGCTGGGTGCAGCACACAGAGGCTTCTTGGGCCTCTTATGGCATGCATAGAGCAAGTTTGCCACCCCTACTCCCTCACTAGTGTCCCTGTGTCCTGTAAATTTTTTACCTGCTAAAAATTATTTTTGAACCTTCAGAAGGTGTTAATTAGATATTCAATAGCATCTCCAAGCAAACAGACAAATACTTGTAGGTTTTGATTATAATGGAATAAGCCCATCAGTGTACATTTGCTGTTTTTTTTAAATCACAGTGCCTTATTAGATCACAGTAGGCATCATCTACTAGCTTGCACTTTGGCTGTCAAAAAGGGTTTTAAGAAATCTTGTTTACAGTGTGTTATCAGGCAAGCTTGATAAGGTTACAGATATCAACCTCCATCAGTTCAAGTTTAGTCAACATGAAATAGACACTGTGTAGATTTTCAAAACATGCACTTTGCTTGTTGATATCAGCACAACACCCATCATTATTTGTTCTTTAAGAAATGCCTTCTAGGGTACAATCATGATATCACTCTATTTCTGTTCATGTTTTTTGTCTGCTTCTGACACCAACTTTGCTGTCACTGTTGCTGTGGTGACTACTGCCTGCCTAAGTTTCTCAAAGTATGCTTGTGTGCTCAATCCAAAAAGTTGCCCCT